ATTGTGGTTGATGTTCTGTCTTGCATAATTTTAACAAGCCACAAACGATTTGAATAGAACGTTGTAGTAAGCAACTCAATCAGATAATTTGTTTGTGTCTTATTTTAAAAATTGATTTTTAAATAGTAATTGAATAGAAATTGGAAGATGTATATCACAATATAAAATGATTTGTTTGTTCTTTTAACAAATGACATACAAATGAAATATTTACATTAGTTTTATGCAATCAAACTTCAAGATACCATTTAGTTAACCTTAATATATTTGACTGAATGAAAATTTTGTGAGTCTTGATGTTCTTTGAAATATTTCAGAAATAAAAAGTTGATAAGGCTTAGTCAAAAGTGTCCTAGTTTTTAGTATTATTTGTTATTTGATTTAATTTAATTTTTGTAGTCAAGTTTGTTTCCTAAATTCTAGCAGAATATGGCTGTAGTCTGTTACATCACAATAGATTTTCTCTATTTATTAGCTGCATTTTCACAAGGAATAAATCAGTCATTTCTAAATTGTTATTTGATTTTCTCTTGAGTTCTTTTGCATCTAACAATTTGGTATCTAGAGTCAGTTACCTGAGAAATTGGTTCAGAAGCAAACTTTGCAACAACCTCTATTCTGAAGTTCGACGGCGGATACGAATATTGGAGCATGGTCATGGAGAATCTCCTTTGATCTAAGGAGTATTGGGTTGCTGTAGAATCAAGCTACACAGAGCCCACAAGTAGGGATGGGATGAAGGCAACACAAATAAAGAACCTGGAGGAGATGAAGTTGAAGGATTTGAAGGCTAAGAATTACTTGTTTCAGTCGCTTGACAAGTCAATTCTAAAGACAATCACACAGAAGGAGACATCTAAACAGCTTTGGGATTCCATGAAGTTGAAGTGTCAAGGTAATGCTCAAGTGAAGAGAGCTCAGCTCAATCGTCTACGCCGAGACTTTGAGGTCTTAGCAATGAAGCAGGGTGAATCGATCACAGATTATTTTGGTCGAGTAAGGACGGGTGCAAACGACATGAGGAATTATGGGGAAGATGTGGGTGACGTCAAGATCGTTGAGAAGATTTTAAGACCCATCACTGATAAGTGGAACTACATTGTTTGTTCCATTGAGGAAGCCAAGGACATAGATCAACTATATGTGGATGCCTTGTAAAGCTCTCTGCCTGTTCATGAGCAAAAGTTCAAAGTACGTGGAGAAGATGAACATGCTTTGAAGGTGACTCATAAAGAGATCTATGGTGGAAGAGGAAGAGTTGCTTCCTAAGGAGACTGGGGATACGGCAGAGGCAGGGGTAGCCAATCAAGGAATAAGGAAACAGTTGAGTGTTACAAGTGTCATAAGCTTGGACACTTCCAGTATGAATGCCAAGCAAATTATGTTGGTTTGGAGGAATCATAAGAGTTGGTGCTAATGGAGTATGTTGACACGCTTGGAGGCGATCGAGATGTTGTGTGGTATATTGACTCTGGCTGCAGTAATTACATGTGTGGTGATTCATCACTCTTCTGTGATTTAGAAGAAGGGTTCAACAAGGTGGTTAGATTGGGGAATTATGCAAGAATGAACGTTGTTGGAAAAGGCAATGTTCGATTGACTGTCAAAGGAGTAAATCACCTTGTATGAGATGTTTATTATGTGCCCAGTTTGCAGAATAATCTTCTCAGTGTTGGACAACTGAAAGAAAAGGGTTTGACTGTCCTAATGCAGTCAAATGAGTGCAGGATTTATCACCACACAAAAGGTTTGGTATTCCAAACCAATATGACATTAAATCTAATGTTCATGCTGCTACCAAACACTCCATCAATCAAAAGAGACAGCAAGGCAGAGTGCTTCCAAGCAACCATTGAAGACGTGGTGCACCTCTGGCACCGATGATTCGGTCATCTCAACTACAAAGGGTTGAAGACTTTGCAAATAAAAGGCATGGTGAGAGGCTTGCCAAGTTTCTCTAAGGGTGAAATTGTATGCACTAATTGCTTGAAAGGGAAGCAGCGTCGAGATGTAATCTCAAGGAAAATTACATGGAGAGCATCGACAAAATTGGAGCTAGTTTATGTTGATATCTGTGGTCCGATTTCTCCGATTTTGGAGGTAAACAAGAGGTATTTCATTTCTTTCATTGATGACTATAGTAGGAAGGCGTGGGTGTATTTACTTGCTTATAAGTCAGATGCATTCACTACCTTTAAGCTATTTAAAGTTCTTATAGAAAAAGAAACGGGTTTGTCCATTAAGTGTTTAAGAACGGATCGTGGAGGTGAATTCACATCAGATGAATTCAAGGAATATTGTGAAATGAATGGAATCAAGAAGCAATTAGTTGCTGCATATACACCATAGCAGAACGGAGTCTCCGAGCAGAAGAACATAATCGTGATGAACATGGCAAGGAGCTTATTGGTTGAGAAAAATTTCCAAGAAAATTCTGGGCAGAGGCAGTAAACTGGGCATTTTATATTCTTAATAAATGTCCGACATCATCAGTGAAGAAAATGACACCTGAGGAGGCTTGGTGTGGGGTGAAGCCTTCAGTCGGACACTTGAGAGTCTTTGGTTGTACAGCATATGCTCATGTAACGGATGCTCGACGAACAAAGCTTGAAGATAAGAGCCGTTGTTGTGTCTTTTTTGGTGTAAGTGACGAATCAAAGGCATACCGACTATATGATCCTACCTCCAAGATTATTTTTATCAGTCGGGGTGTCGTCTTTGAAGAAGACGGGCAAAGGAATTGGGAGAAGAGCTCCGAAGAAGATAACACGTTTGATTTGGAATGGGAATATGAGAAAAGTGGAGAAATGGAGGAATCAAGTGATAATAATGAAGAAGAAAATGTAGATGATGGTAATGAAGAAGAAGATGCAACTTCTCCAATAACAAAACTCCGAAATAGAAGAGCACCAGGGTGGATGGATGACTATGTCTCCGGTGAAGGCCTTTTTGATGAAGACGAAGAGGTACAAACTCATTTAGTCATGTTTGCTCATGCAGTTCACTCTGATCCTACTTCATTTGATGAAGCAGTAAAGGAAGAGAAATGGGGGACAACCATGGATGCAGAAATGAGATCAATTGAGAAGAACGAAACGTGGGATCTCACGGAGCTGCCGAAAGAAGCAAAAATAATAGGAATCAAATGGGTGTACAAAACCAAGTTAAATGAGCTTGGAGAATTAGAGAAATACAAGGTTCGCTTGGTCGCAAAAGGGTATGCTCAGAAATATGGAGTTGATTATGAAGAAGTATACGCTCCTGTAGCTCGTATGAACACAGTTCGAATGATTTTGGCACTTGCTGCACAAAGAAGCTAGTGTGTGTTTCAGCTGGACGTGAAGTCAACCTTTCTTCTCGGGAAGTTAGCTGAAAATATGTACATGGAGCAGCCAATGGGTTATGAAATAAAGAATGAGGAGCATAAGGTATATAAGCTTAACAAAGCTTTGTACGGACTCAAGCAAGCACCACGAGCTTGGTTCAGCCGAATTGAATCATACTTCAGAAAGGAAGGCTTTGAGAAGGAGGATAGTGAGAAAACTTTGTTTACCAAAGTCAAACAAGATAAAATTTTGATCATTAGCCTGTATGTTGATGATTTAATTTATACCGGAGATGATGAAAAAATGATGTCTGAATTTAAAGAGTCCATGATGAAGGAATTTGATATGTCAGACTTGGACAAGATGGGTATTTTCTTGGTATTGAGGTAATTCAATTTGATGTTGGTATATTCATCAATCAAACAAAGTATGTGACAGAAGTGTTAAGAAGGTTTGGAATGAAGCATAGCAATTTTGTTGAAAATCCAATGGTTCTAGGATTTAAAATCTCCAAAGATGATAATGGTGTTGAGATGGATGGTTCATTTTTCAAGTAGCTGATTGGAAGCCTGATGTACTTGACCAGTACAAGGACAGACATAATGTATGCAGTTAAGTTATTGAGCAGGTATATGTCAAGACCTACAGAAGTTCATTATTCAGCGGCGAAAAGAATTCTACGTTACCTACAAGGTACAACAATGTGCGACATTCTTTACAAAAGGGAAGGAAATATGGAATTGATTGGCTTTACTGACAGTGATTATGCTGGATCAGTAGAGGATAGAAAAAGTACTTAAGGTTATGTTTTTATGCTAAGTGGAGCTGCAGTAGCTTGGTCTTCTCGAAAGCAACCGATAGTAACGTTGAGCACCACAGAAGCCGAATTTGTAGCAACTACGGGAAGTAGTTGTCAAGCAATATGGATGCAAAGGGTGCTGAAAAAGATAGGATACAAGGGCAGTGGAAGTACTGTCATCATTTGTGACAATAGCTCAACAACCCATCATTTGTGACAATAGCTCAACAACCCAGTGATGCATGGCAGGAGCAAGCACATTGATGTGCACTACCATTTCTTAATGGAGCTTGTGAATGATGGAGTTGTGTGGCTTCAGTTTTGTGGTTCAAGACATCAGTTAGCGGACATCCTCACCAAACCTCTAAAATTGGAGTCATTTCAGGAGCTGAGAAGGAAGCTTGGAGTTTGTGATGTTTCAGGAGTTAACTAGCTGCAAATGCAGTCTAGTTCAAGTCTAGTTCAAGGGAGGGAATGACAAGGCTTAGTCAAAAGTGTGCTAGTTTTTAGCATTATTTGTTGTTTGATTTAATTTAATTTTTGTAGTCAAATTTGTTTCCTACATTCTAGGATAACAGGACTGAAATATGTTATAGATTTTCTCTATTTATTAATAATATTTTCACAAGGAATAAATCAGTCATTTCCAAACTATTATTTACTTTTCTCTTAAGTTCTTTTGCATCTAACAAAAGTTATAAACTTCACTTCACACATTTGATGGAAACAAAATAGCTGTTAATAAAATTTACTATCACTCAATAACAGCTTCAAATAGATACATTTGATGGAAAGGAAAGAGTGTTGATGGAAAGGAAAGAGTGTTAATTAATTAAAGTTACCATCACTCAAATTGACAGCTTAAAACATATACATTAACAGTCCTGTTGGAAAACATGAACTTTGAAAACTAAAGCTTCCTTGTTTATCAGTTCGAACACGCAAACATCTCCTGGTTGCACTCCACTTTCCCTTGCAAAAGACGACCAACCAGCCGAAAGACAACGGTGGGTTTTACTATTGTAAGAAGGAAGCAATTTCAGATTCCATGATCTTTTACCAATTTGCAGCTTCACATTCGTCGTCTTATTCTCAATAATCCCTTTTAAATTTGGTACTCTCTGCATTGTACAGTATATATAATTTTATCATCAATCATTATCACTATAATTTATAACCACAACATCACAAAATAAATAACAGCATTGCATGAATACTATACCGGACGATTTGCTGCCAGGTTAGCAGAGTTGATCAAAACTATGAAAAAGGGATTCCTTGAGATAAATTCTTCAGCTACTTGCCGAGCTCTAGATTCGTATGGCCTATTCAATGATGTAGTTCTTTGACTAATATGCTCAATCTCACCTGCACATATATGTGGAATATAAAACAAAAACTGCACTCTAATATACAACAGAAGAATAAAATACAAAATGAAATCCACATACATCTACTTTTTTTATGTGGTCTAGGAGAAGCTAATGTTGATCTCTGTCTAGGCTTCTTCTGATTATGCCATTCATTCAAAATCTCAACTGATTCATCATCACTATGGTCAAGGTTTTCATGTTCATCGTCAAGAATGCCACATGAAGAATCATAGTCAATTTCTAATGCATGCTGGCCAAGTATGATTAGATCTAACTCTGAAGTTCGTTCTTTATATTTAAAGACTACCAAACAACCATGTTGTAGAGAGTAATTTTGAGTAAAAAATTTCCAACCCTTTTGAAACCAAATGTCACCATTGATGTTTTTCCAAAACACTTTCCATTTAGTGCCATCAGGAGGGTTGATCATCACTGGATTTGGTAGAGCAGCACCGTGTTTTCTTGTAAACTTGTTTGGTATTTTCTGTAAAATATATATATATATATCACTATTAGAACCAATATACATAACTTATGTGTAGAAATATACTAAAGTAGTAGACAGTTGTAGAGAGTAGTAGTAAATTAAGAAGAAAGGTTACAATAGTTTGAAGATTGGTTTGAAGAATAATCTTGAAGAAACAGATGGGAAGGGTTGAATTTCCTCTAGCCATTGGTGATGAAGTGGTGGAGAGTTTAGGAAAAATATATAGTACTAGTAGAGCGTAGTAGTAAATGAAGAGAAAAGGTTACAATAGTTTGAAGATTGGTTTGAAGAATAATCTTGAAGAAAGAGATGGGAAGGGTTGAATTTCCTCTAGCCATAGCCATGCATGGATGATGAAGTTTGATGAGTTAATAGAGAGTTTAGAAGATAATGTGTGAGTCACACTTTCTATACTAATAATAACGCATGCCCTTCAATTTCTTGAATGACCAGTGATATATTTTGGTCAGAGTTGCAAGCAAAGTTCTTCCTTTATTTATGGTTATGGTTAACCTACCTACCTAATTTCATTATTACATCTCTTGTGCGTCTTTTCATACTTCATCTTCACTTTTCTTTTTTTTAAACAAAACATACCTCGGAGAAATGACTTTTCTAATATTATTATTAATTCAAGTTAACTGAGGATGATTTTACAATAAGTTATAAAAATTCATTCAGGTTTTAATTCGGAAATTTGCAATTCTATGTCTGTGTTTTAGAGATTTTTATCATTTCATTTGCCTATTAAAATAATTAAACTCATCTTACCTAGATTTTGTTTGGTAAAAATTTATCTACAATGTTTACACCAAAAACATAGGTCAATGAAAGGTAAAAAAATTAATCAATGAAGTGATAAAATATATTTAATAAACGTTTAGATATTAAAAATAATTTTTAGTAGTAAATTAAAATTGGTTAATAAAAAATAAAAAATTAGTTAATTAAGTTATAAATGGATTAATAAACGTCTCAATATTAAAAATAATTTAGAACAGTCACCAAAATTGGTTAATACAATATAAAATGCCAGATTAATAAAATTATAAAATTGATTAATCACACAATTTATTATCAGTACTTTTTAGTAAAAAAAATTTTAAAAAATATTATTATAATATTTCACTATTTACTATATGGGTCATGCTAACCCGTGTCCTCAGGGCATTAGTTAAGAATTTCAAATAAGAAAAATATGTTATATTTAGTTCACTCAATACACATAATATTCTTTAAAAAGTCTGATTATTTCTCTTTTCAGGGCATTGAATACACATATATTTAGAAAAAAAAATGTATTTTCAATCTCTTAAATAATACCCAACTTACCATTTTAATCTCTTAACCAATATCCTGAGGGCACTCGTTACCCAACTTACCATTTTAATCTCTTAACCAATATCCTGAGGGCACTAGTTAACATTTCCCTTAGTATATTGATGAACAGTAAAATCCAGTGTAGATGTAAAAATTGAATGTAAGAGTATCATTTTTCAAAAATTATAATATATATATATATATATATATATATATATATATATATATATATATATATATATATATATATATATATATATATATATATATATATATATATATATATATATATATATATATATATATATATATATATATATATATATATATATATATATTATACTAGGTGATTTCTAAATTAGTCGACAAACATTGTATTTGGCTTAATAGTCCCTTAATTTAATTTTTCATTTTAGTCTTTTATTAAAAAGTATTATAAATTAGTTTCTTAATTTCACATTTGTTATCTTATTTGGTCCTTTCTATTAATTTATAACAACAACAAAAATTAAGTCATCGTGATGACGTGGTGTGATAACAAAGTCATTAATACAAATTTTTATCAGCATATGTAAATAAGAACTCATACACGGTTTAAATTGTGGAGATCTCTGAAAACAAAACGCACTTTAAACACTATAATATCAATTTTTAATTACATATGCTGATTTAGATTTGTATCAATAGTATTTGATCTGACCTGATCAGGAGGGGATCACGGTCTGGCCACACGCTGTTGGGCTGCTACCTGTTCACCGGTGATGAGGAGGAGAAGGGGGGTGTACCTGCAAGACACTCCGATGCCAAAGTAAGAAATTGGGCAGAGCGGAAGCAAAGTACAGAAAGGGCAAGATATGAATTACCTGACCCTCTTGTGGAAGAGGGTATTTATAGAGAGACCCCAGCGCTGGGCCAACGGTCATTTGAGGTGGGCTGGATGACCAGGCCCAACCCTAATGACTGTTAGGGCTTACGTGGCGTAATGAAGACCAGGACGTGGTCTTCGCCCTAGTCCAACTGCTCCTAGATCTTCGGAAAGTGGGTTTGACCTGCTCTTTCGGAGGTGGGCAGTTGGTTGATGACGTGTCCCCGCAGAGGGAAGCACGTGGGAACGTGCGCCGGGCACGTTGTTCTCCATGTGGAGGGGAGCTCGGGAGGTACCCCGGAGCGCGTTGTTCTCCTCGCGGAGGGGAGGAACCAAGGCCGTGCTTTGGTGCGTTGGGGTCGGTTCTGTTCGGCTGGTAAGAGGGGACGACGAGATGCTGTTGGATGCGCTGCTTGTGTCCGGCGGCATGCTCTGCTCGTCTTGCGGGACGCACGTGCCCGGCGTGCCCGATTCGCCTGTTGGGCCGTACGTGGTATTGGGTCTGCCGAGGTCGGGCCCATACCGGAACAGGAGCCCCCCAAGTCGAAGCTCTGGGGAGAGAGCGAGGACTTAAGGTCGCTGTATCGGGGAGAGAGGTAACGAAACGGGAGGTTCGTCGGGACCCGTGCACGGTGGGACGGGCACTCGTACGGGGGTCTCCGGTCGTCGACGGAGCGGGGTGAAAGCAGGTGAAGGGGCGCGACCGTCAGGCTGCCGCCACGTGTCGTGCGTTAAGCGGTCGTAGGGGCGGCTACCCTATGTCATTAATGAGCCTAGTGTCGCTTCGAATCCCGCACCGGGTTATAAATACGGGGGTCCCCGCTCATTTTATTACTTTTCACTCTGCTGTTGTACCTGCGAAGCTCTGTCATCTCTGCTCGTCCGCCGCTTGCCGCCGATCGCCGCTGCACCGTTTGATCCTTTTCTCCGTTCGCCGCCGTTACAAGTGAGTTCTCATTTCTCTTCCCTTTTATTTTCGTCGTTTAATTAGAACGTGTGGTCGGGGCATGATGAATGCCCTGAGGAGGGACGCAAGATCCGCCGTATCTGGCGAATTTTATGATGAGTGTCCCGGGGAGAATCGGCTGTTCTGATGAATGTCCCGAGGACGGGGGCTTTCTCCGATGAATACCCCGGGGACGAGTGCCTTTTCCGGTGAATGCCCCGGGGAGACGCGCTTTTTCTGGTGACCGTCCCGCGGAGGGATGGCGGGTCGGCTTTAGACGCCCCGAGGAGGGTAGACGGGGAGCGCGTGTTTGCTCGCCGTTCTCCGGCCTTTGTCGCCCTTTCACTTGACCTGCGGTGGAAGGGTGGATTTGATCCTGGCTATTGAATTCACCGTTGTCCTCTGCTTTTCAGGTGTAGATGTCGGCTCTAGTACCGGGATAATGGTCGAAGACAACGAACCCGAGGTTCCGGACTTTGATGACGAGCGCATTGCCCCGCCCGAAGAATGGGCGGCTGAGGAGCCGCTGTCTACCCCGTCTTGTTTTGTGGCCGATGCGTCCGACGTGTACGCCACCGTCGAGGATACGCCTATAGGGGAGCCACAACATTGGCAGGTGTACCGACCGAAAGAGCATCATCGCATCTGCTCGCGATATGGGCGGCGGATGTTCCCGATGCACGAGTTCTACTTTAAAGAGGCTCGGCTCTGGTTACCGTTCTCCGCCTTTCATCTGGGGCTCTTTGATTGGTTGCGCCTGGCCCCGTCCCAACTGCACCCCAACGCCTTGGCTTTCATCCGCGCTTTCGAGGTGGTGTGTTTCTACCTCGAGGTGGAGCCGACGGTACCGTTGTTCTTCCGTATCTTCCACTTACAGAGGCAGACGGTGAATGGCCGCCACGGATGGGTCTCATTTAAACAATCGACCAAGCTCTTCAAGGCGTATAGTGATTCTGTCAAGGATTTCAAAAGTCGGTTCTTCCTCGTTAAATCGATCACGCAGCGGGGCTCGGATATTCTCTTCGACGAGGGCGAGCGAATGGTAGATGACCAGCGGTTCCTCGCGTGGCTTCCTGAGATACATCTATTGTGGACCGCGGAGCATTTCAATCGAGGAACAGATCGGTATATCGTACGGGCGGGAACCCTCGAGGAGAAAGACATGGCCGCCTATTTGAAAATAGTCGCTTTTGTGCGGGCTCTTCCTCCGTCGAAGCTGGTGACGCCCGACGGTCGGTATATCCTCGACGCGCAGGGGAATGTGCGGACTAAGAAGCGACTGATTAATACCAAGACCCTGCTCGGTTGTGCGACCGGGGCGGACGCTCTGGATTACCTAGGTAGGAATGTTTATTTTCTCCCCGTGGTCGGGGTTCTGGCTGTCGCTAACTCTTTCTTTGTTTTTGCAGCGAACATGTCTTCTATCGAGGAGCGGGTAAAGCAGTTGCGCGCTACCAGGAACGCCGCGGTCCCGAGGACGCGGGTGAGTCAGCTGGTCGGACAGGAGGTCGTGACGCCGGGGGGGGGGGGGGGGGGGGGGGGGGCAGAGTTCGTCTTCTTCGCCTCAAGGGAGTCAGTCTCCTACGTCTCAAGGAGCATCGAAAAGGCAGAGGTCCGAGGAGCCCTGAGGTGTGGTAGATCTGACTGTCGGTTCGGCCGAGGAAGGTTATGTCGTCCCGCCCTGCCATCAGCATTCGGGCTGTTTTCATGGTGCTCGTTCTCCTACCGTCTCCGCTGGGGAGGTGAAGGTTGTCCGTCAGGCCGATCGAGAGTCTCGTCGACGTGTCCTGGCGGAGGATTTGGCTGCAATGATGCGGACGTTCACGACGGCTCTTGTGCTGAACGAGGAGGGCTGTTCTGCTGCCGAGTTGTCTAAACTGCAGGGGGACCTTACCTTTATGCAGTCGCGGTTGGCCAAGCTTACTGAGGAATTGGAGAAGAGTCAGAAGGATGTTGCTGAGCAGCGAAAACGGGCAGAGGGCGCTGAGGGGAAGGTGACCTCGCTGGAGGAGAAGTTGGGGGAGGCGACGACCGAGGTGCAGGCGCTGAAGGTTCG